GGAAATAATAATATCACCTTGAAAACATCCTACTGTTGTTAAATCTCAGTTAGACGTAAAGAGATTAAAATGTTGTTAATTTTTGAATAAATTATAGATATTTCATTTAATTGCGTGGTAAAAAAAACAATCTCAGATTCATTGTTCAAAATTTTTGAAAACGTTAAAATAAAAAAAAAAGTAAAAAAAAAAGTCAATTTAAAAAGAAATGCCAAAAAAGCATAACTTATGCACTATAATGATGACGCTACTACAAAACAAAAAACAACAATAAGCTACACGGACGAAAAAAGTTCTTGCACTAATATCCAGTGTACTGTCGGTACTTCAAGTACCCCAAAGTTATTCAACTGTAAAACTAGTTATGTACACTGTTAACTTAAAATAAATAGTCAAATCGTTGTCTAAGGCAGTGCTTCTCAAACTTTTAATATTTGCTACCCAATATTCAATCATAATTTTCATTTCGTCCCCCTCCAATGTATTTAATTCTATAACACACTTTGACGCCCAAGCTACAATGCGACTTTAAGCACTTAAGTACCATCGACGTATAAAAATATTTCGCTCATCCAAAGCGTTTAAGTGCCTCGGACGTATATACAGTACGTCTTTCCGAAGTACGATCTTTTCTGTGCTATCCATAAAATTATTCCGAAGGCTTTGAAATGTAACAAAAGTACCATGACAGAATTTGCGAGGGATTTACTTATTTCAGAGGATTTGCTTATTCCTTATTTTCCCCCCTCCCCCAATACATCACATATGCGTGTCTAAATAAAAAACGGTGGCATTCAGGAGCGAATCGCGTAACTTGTAATCGGCAGTGAAGGGATTAATTATAAACCGTACAAATTATTTATTTTTATTTTACAAATGCCAGGCCATTGACCATCAGGTCATTAGGCAACGGGCTCTCCAATACCTTTTTACAATGCAGTTAAGATCATTCAGTGCAGAGCACTCGTCCAAATGAGCGGCAGTCATGTCTTGTCCAGTGTCACACAAAACGCAGATAGGTGAAGTCACTAAATTAAAACGAAACAGATGAGCACAAAAGCAGTCATGTCCGGTTAAAAGTCTGAATTTAGCCACAGCAGCAGCACGAGGAGAACTTGGAATACCGTGGGATTTCTTACATAGTGTACTACAAGGCTTATCACGAGCAACACGAGAAGCTGTAAGGCGAAATGATTCTCTAAAAATCCTTTTAATTTCCAGTTTGGCAGAATGAAGTGTCAGGTCTCTGCGAAAGTTCTGAAGGATACCCGTTCCCTTTTTTGCCAAAAAGTCTGCCCTCTCATTTCCCCAAAGACCACAGTGGGATGGTACCCATTGAAAGACGATCTTTCCTTTTATCTTTCCCAGGAGTTCTCTACAGTTCTGCACACGTAAACAATTATTCTCATTATAGTTGGACAAAGCCTGAATGGCAGAAGTAGAATCTGAAAGAATTACAGCTCTTTCAATGGGGGGAAGACGAACAGCAAGTTGCTGAAGGGCTATATATGTATAGCTTCAACCTCACCATCAAAGTGAGTTGTCAAAGGGCCGGCGTGTAAATAGAAGGAGAAGAGGTGACTAAAAACACCAATGCCAGCGCCTTGGGCAAAGTCCAAGAGTGAGCCATCTGTGTAAATGTGAAGCCACTCCTCCGGTGGGAAGCGGATATTGATAGTTCCCAAAGCTATAGCGTGAAGAGCAGTTGGACTTAGATCACGTTTTCTCACATTCAGAACAAGGTCCAATCAGATGTCGAGTATTGCGTAGTCGAGTGGGTTAGCAAAAGACAGTAATTCAAAGGGCACATCATTAATGACTTTATATTGAATGTTCTCACGAACACATTGAATAAAGCCCTTTTGAGGCTTAAGATTACGTCCTCCATCGGAATCATAGTCCCGCCAGAATGAATTATCAAAATAAATGTTAAATTCGCATATAACTTTTTTTTGACAAGCCCATAGAGTCACTGGTAATTATTAAACTTGTTTTTAACTTAGTATTGTTAAATTTATTGTTAAATTAAATACATTGTGCACAGTACTTATAAATTAAAAAGTGTATTATATTTGCGTTAATGTTTTTATTCTTATTTTTTTATTTTGTCAGAATGTATTTCGTATGTTTATTTTTAACGAATGAATAATTTTTTTAAAATAATCTTTTGTTTTTGACTTTTCAATATGTTCGCGCCCCTCTCCTACGGGTATCACGCCCCTCTAAGGGGGCGCGCCTCACAGTTTGAGAAACGCTGTTCTAAGGTCTTAAAGCTGTTTTCGCCATATGTACGAAAGTGTGAACTTGACGCGGAGCACATTCTACAACAGAAAAAATGCCTCAATTTTTATAAAAAAATGTGTAACATAGTAAATCAAGTATTCGTTTATAATATAGTGTTTTTAAAATTTCCAAATATTTCATAAATAATTAGTTATTCCTTTTAACGTGTGAAGGTATAGCTCATTTAGCATTACGGTATAGGGAAAAAAACGCAAAACACATTTTATAAAAGAAAAAATGTGTCAACTCGGATAAAAATGAGCAGCATGATAAAATAAGCGGTTCTCTACAGGATAGTGTAGCCAGAATATATATATATATATATATATATATATATATATATATATATATATATATAATATTAATGTTTGAGTACTTTTATATCTGAAAAAATATTCCGAATTCGGCCCCTATTCTTTAACACTAGCCGAAGATATCCTTAAGTAACATTTAAAAAAAAAATTTAAAAAAATAAGGCACTTACTTTTTGACATTACAATCGTCGCAATCTGGTCAAAATGTCAGCAGAAAACGCAGCTTCCGTTTTAAAACTATTCGCCTTCCCCGCCAAAATACTCATCAAAGAACCTGTGCTGCCATGTATCCAGGAAGAGTGGAATTAAAAGAGTGTTACTGCTAAATATCGTTAGAATATTCGTAAAAATGGTTATTCTATGTAATTTTAAAGTGAGTTGTATTTATAAATAATGTCCTTAGATAAAGGGTTAAGACGACACCCAAACAACTGTCTCATTTATTTAACTTCCATCGCAGAGCAAAGGTAGATTTTGAAAACCATTGTGTAACATTTCTCACCATTATTCCTTCCAAACTTATTAGTAAGTCCTAGCGCCCATTATAAAGCCCTGTTACCTTATGCTATTCCATATACACCAAATATTACTTCTGGATTTGAACTGATGAAGTAATAAAAAAAAATTATACAGTATGGACCCAAAATCTTAGTACAAAATTTAAGGGTAGATACAGGACATTGTAACAATTATTTATTGTATATGAATGTATGGGTGCAAGTGACGTGGTGAGGCACAAACACAATAAATAAGAGACGAAAGGAAAGACAAAGTGTTTATTGAAAGCGTAATGTTTACAACAGCTTTTCATAACTTTTCAGCACATGAACTATGAAGTCCAGCTGCAGCTCTATGAAGTATGAAGTATAACATTGCTGTACCACCCACTAGCAGTCGGAGAAGATGTGACAAATCTGTACGGAACCTTTCCACTAATATTCTTAAGCATCTTTGGGGATTGTAAATTCGCGTATATTTCCAATCAACTCTAAGAGGACAACGGGATATACAAAGTAGATAGGGTATTTAAGTTGAGCGCTGTAAGTTGGCGAAAATGAAGGCTATTGAGCCAACAGCAGTAGTGTTAACGATTAGAGGATTCAATTGGATTACGATAGTGAAACTTGCTGCTAGTACTCAACGAAGGAATCTTAGGAGGTTGATATACCTGTGAAGAGATCAAAGTACTACCAGGTGATATATACTAATTTAATACCGCTTACAGTAAGCGTTAGTTTAATAAAATTAGTGTAAGTTAATGAAAGCTAATAATTCGAGTTGCGTTTATTTCTCAGACCTCCTATTTCGGTATACCTTATTGATATTACGCGTAGTTATTGATTAATTTCATATTTCGTAACTTAATTTAATATTAAAGGTAAATCCCTTTTGTTTGACGTAGACATATAGTAGATACTACATGTCTTTAGAGTTTTTGACATTTGAATCAATTTAATAAATATAAGTTATTATTATTCAAATGGCGTCTGGTCATTCTTTGCCTCAAATTAATCTTGGTGTCCATGGTGGAACCCAGGGGGGTTCCCACAAAGATAGCCTGCCGGAATAGAGGCTTATACTCGCTGAAAATGGAAGAGGCATAAGCGATTTTCGTTTAACACTCTACAAGTGATCTGATGACTCACACGTAATGAGCAACAGCTCTTGCCTCTGCTCTAACAGCCACAGCGTTTAAGATGCCTTCTTCCAGATTTGGGCAGCGCATAGCTCTTTCTCGACCAACATCATGACTGGTGACGTGGAACGTACGCATTTCACAAAGTTGACGATGTAACCACTTAAAAAATTTTGTGATCCGGCACGCGTGATACATTCGTAGCGCAGCTCTGTCGTGCATGTAATGCATGTCTGTATTTTCGGCATACTTTAACGTCAGCACAATTGTGAATGGAGCTTTCCCTTACTGAGATGCATCATGTTGAACGGCGGCTAGACATCTTCTGCTCCCTACCAGCAACGAAACCAACCGTAACTCCATTTCTCTTTTCTTTTATTTCTCCTGTTTGCGCCTCTCCACGTCTCTTGTGCCCATACATTCCTATACAATAAATGATTGTTACATTGTCCTGTATCTACCCTCAAATTTGTACCATGAATTTGGGGGGACCATCCTGTATACTCCTAATAGGTACAATCAGTAGGTACTTGTATTATCAATGCACTGATTGCTATTCGCACAAGAGTAAGATCATTCGTCTAGTTTGTAAATGTATCCTTGAAAATAATGAAAGAATATAATTCGCGCGACGGATGTCTTGATTTAAAACGGAAACCCAAGTATTTTTTCCGTTGTGTTCTTAGTAATGATGCTGGGGTATTTCCCACAAAGGAAGGAGAGGCTTATTAGAATCTAAGTGATTTTGTCTTATAATCTGACTTAAAGCCTTGTCACGAGTTCTAGTATGGTGGTTATTACACTGGGATTGTAATCGAGTGGGCTCGGGTTCGAATCCCGAGTAAGGCATGGACGTATTTTCTGGAAAAGAAGTCGGACTTTCACCTGAAATGGATTCACGTCTCGAATAGAAAGCAGCGCACCCTTTTGTGTTCTATGCTGGGATCATCGTTCGTAATAAAAAGTCTTTGTTCTGTGTTTGTTTCTGTTCATCTACGTCTTTCGTATGTATCCCAGTATGAAACACATGACAAAAACATCTGACATAAAAGTTTTTATTGTCAATGAAACAGTATACTTTTTTAATGATTTGAAGGAGGAAGTGAAACTCAACCAATTAGTCGGGAAGATTCTTGGACATATCTCGTAGAAAACATTTTCCCCCCGAGAAAATCAAAAGGCAATCTTAAGAATATTCCAGCTGATTTCCATTGACATGAAAAACAATTGTAGGAAACTAATAGTATTTTCCGGTCTCCGGTTCATGCTATTTATGTGAGATGATATAGTGTTAAAGCTAAAAAAAATAGAGTTCATTTTATTTCACAATATTTTTCCAATGAATTTTTCCCTCGATTATGCATAGAAAACATATTAGCAGTAGTTATAAAAAAAATTAAGAACTTTACCAAGCTTATAATAAACTCTGATTTAAGTAATAATAAAAATATTTTCACAGTATATATATATCGGAAGTATTTATAGAATATATAAGGGGCTTTCTTGTTTTTTTATATTCTTTAAAATTTTAGCCGCTTCCTTACAGGAAATGAAATGAGTGAGTGAGTGTTGGGTTATTGGCACAAGAGCCAATTTTTGACAAACTGCGCCAAACATTCGTTAAGGCATTTTAAGTACAAAATCATTAAAAAATGTAACTAAATTTTAATTAAAAAAGGTAAAATCGCAAATTTTATATAAAATTCAATCATAACAAATTTGAAAACAAATATTGGTGAGGGATTTCCCCACCAAGTTCGATTGGTATTGTTGAGAAAAAGTTTGTAAAACTGGCTGGTGTTAAAAGTAATGATCCTTTCCAATATTGTTTCCCATCTTTTTCAACAAGTTCAGCATGCGGTTCAAATTCATCTTCCTCCACATCATATGTAATCATGTCTTCCTCATCCGTTGTGTATTCTATAGGTGCTGACTTTCTGGGTTTAAGTGGAGCCAGCCATCTTTATTTCTATTTTTGCTTCATTTAATTTTTTAAGTAATTCTTTTTCTTACACGAGTTTTTGAATTTGGTTTGGAATCCCGTTTAGATGTAAAGGGGGGTTGAATACTGGGGTTGGATTGGGAAGTCGATATGATTGAGGAAGATTCAATTAGGGTGAACATATTATTGGTAAGTACGTCATTAAATATAGGAATATGTGGTTCAGGCTTTGACTCTGTGTGGGAACCCCACTGGGTTCCACCCTGGACACTAAGATTAATTTGAGGCAAAGAATGACCAGACGCCATTTGTATAATAATAACTTATATTTATTCACTTAGTTCAAACATCAAAATTCTAATGACAAATCGTAAGATATATGTCTACGTCAAAAAGGGGTTTATCTTTAATATTAAACTAAATTACGAAATATGAAATTAATCAATAACTACGCTCAATATCAAAAGGGTTTACCAGAATAGGAGGTCTGAGAAATACACGCTACTTGAATTATAAGCTTTCATTAAACTTGAACTAATTTTATTAAACTAATGCTTGTGGTAAGAGGTACTAATCTAGAATATATCACCTGTGGTACTTATGATCTCTTCAGGTATATTAACCTCCTAAGGCTCCTTCGCTGAATGATAACAGCAATGCTTCAATATCGTAATACAATTGAATCCTGCAAATCACGTCACTACTTCTGCTGGCTCAATCGCCTTCTTCACCGCTAACTTACAACGCTCTCCTTAAATACCTTATCTACTTTACATATCCCATCTTCTTTTTTTAGAGGTGATTGGAAATATACGCGAATTTACAATCCCCAAAGACGCCTAAGAATATTAGTGGAAAGGTTCCATAAAGATTCGTTACAACTGTAGCTGCTATTGAAGATGTGGAAGGAAATAGTTGTGCTTGAGTTGATGAGGATGATGTGGAAACAGCAGGAATGGAAATTAATGCATTTGGTTTAGGGGGTGGATGAAAGCGATAGAAGTAATTTTAAAGGTGGGCATTTTATTTTTGTAATATTTTCATCTGTTTGTGAGGAATTGCTTACAATTATAGATTTGACAGCCTGAGTGTAGGTTTGTGATGGTTGTGGGGTTATTAATTTTCGGGCTTCTAAATATGATATGTTTTTGTTTGTTTTAATTGTTCGGGGGGGGATCTCTTCTTCTATTTTCCATTTTGGAAATAGTTTAGAATCGGCGGAATGAGGTTGTGAACAATTGACGCATTTCTGCTCCAGGTTGCAATTTGAGGAGGCATCTCCAACAGATGCACATCTAGAACATGTTAATAGACCACGGCAGGCAATTTGAGACTGTCCGACCCTTTGACATTTAAAACAGCGCAAAGGATTTGAAATATAAGGACGAAATTTACAACTTAAATATCCAACTTTTATAGTTTTAGGTAGTGTAGGGCTATTAAAGATTAAAATAAAGAGTTTTGTTAAAATGACTGAATTCTCTTTTTTTTATTGCAATTCTTCTGGCCTGAATTAGACCCTGATCAGAGAATCCATGAAGGATTTCCGCTTCAGGAGTGGTCAACAGGTCAGGTTAAAAAATGACACCGCGGCATGAGTTGATAGTTTTAAGTGAGCTTATTGTTACAGGTGAATTCAGAAACGTTTTTGCGAGAAGGAAAGACTTAGTTTGTATGGCGGAGAGTGCTTCAATTCGTAGATCACCGGATCTTAATCTTTTTACAAATTTAGGTTCTCCACCTATTTCTACGAGGGCTTTTTGTATAGCAAAAGGAGTTTTAAACGCTATTTCATTGTTCGGTAAAGAAACTAATAAAAATCTGGTATTAGTAGGAATCTGCTCAATGTTAAGGTTGGGTAAAACAAGGTCTTTACCCGGGCACAGCTGCATTGGAAGTATGAGCGCGTAGAAAACTTCATCCTGGCGTGCCTTCACCGACCACGAAGTCCAACAAGAGACAAAAACAGGCACAGCTGCACCTGGAGTACACACAGGATATAGCCCTACAGCATCATGGCGAGAATCCAACGCTTAAACCCGCCCCCACCCTTGTCTGCAGGACTAGCCCTACAGCAATATCTCTCCAGGGACAGCGAAGAGAGATAACACCAGCCGATTGACAGGAGCGAGCTCACTCTTGCTCCTCGTCTACAGCGTGGGCCAAAGGGAACGCAAAAGGTATCCCTATTACACCATTTTCCTCCTTTCGGGACGCCACACACGTGGGTTGGCAAACTAATGGTGTTTGTCAAAACCAAATAAAGCAACAAAATAAAAAAAACACGTAATAAGGAAGCAATACAAAAATTTAAAAAATAGGGGGAAAATTAAGAAATCAGACACTAACTCAACATAATATAAAATAAAACCCAAAATATGTTATTAATCAATAAGTAATCAAATGAAATAAATATATAATTAATTTATTTTGTACAGGTAAATTCTATACAATTTAAGCTGTAGTCTAGACGAGAGAAAAAAAGAATAGATAAAATTGTATGACAAGAAAGAGGGTTGAAAATAGAGCAGGATCACTAGGATACCCCGAGGTCGTGACACCATGTATAACAAAGACAGTAAACCCTTTGGGAAAAGATCACTAGGGCACCTCGGGATTGTGACACACGTACTCACCTAAAGAAAGTGAGCCCCTTCAGCGTGGAAATTAGATGAGAAAAAAATAGGAAAGTATCAATCTCAGTTACAAATTACATTCACGTCCTGGATGATTTATTAATTTATATTCATATAAATAAAAATTATATATGAATATACAATAAATGATAGTTACAATGTCCTTTATCTACGCTGAAAGTTTGTATCATGATTTCGGGACCATCGTTATATAAAATTTCCCATAACTTATATCATAAAACTCAATGTATAATGTTTTTTTCATCAATAATATCTACAAACATTCATACTTATTAAAATGTTGCTGTCTTTCCTAACTTAAGGGGTGTTGGAAACCTCTCTCTTTCTCTCTCTATACTGACAATGTTAAATTGGCTGTTTTCGATGTACCTTTTCTCAAAATCTGTTTTATGTACACGCTTGAAATTTTTCATACTATTAAAGTACACCTCTCTTATTATACTAAAATGAGCTTTTAGCTAGTTTTGAATTTTTTAAGAAATTATGAAATATTTTATCAAACATTGCGAAATTTGACCCATTTTTTAATTAAAAAATTTGTAAAAATTAAATTTTTGAGTGTTTTAAAAAAAGCTCATTTTACTATATATTAGACATCATTATAAATAATTCATAAAAAATTTACATACCTGTGAACAGTAGTTTGTCAGAAAAGGTACATCGCACATTAAAATTTACATTTTGAGATAAATTGATTTTAATGTATACAGTGAGACTTCTAATCGGCTGGGAAATAAAAAAATAAAAGGTTCAATTTAAAATAAAAGATACATGTTTTGGTTTATATCAATCGTTACACTTTTAAGCAAAAACAAAGTAATTTGTTTACAATTTTCGCCATTAAAATGGGCATGGCCCAAATTCAACGAATATTTAAAAATACATTTTAAAGGCTTCTAAATTCCCCAGAGGGGTTCAAGTAAGGTATTTTTAGAAAGGTTAAAATCTATACAATTTGAAAATGTAAAAATCTCAAATTGTCAAAAAAATAAGATTTTAGCTTTCCAACACCCCTTAATAGAACAACACAAAGACAATAAGAGAAATACAACATAATTTTTAAAAACTGACTGTGTCTCAGAACGGCACTTAAAGGTATATATACAGCAATAACCAGAATTTCATGCATCCAAAAGTCAGGATTTTACATCAATTTAATATATACACAAGTAAAATGTGTGTTGCATCATGAAGATTTTCAATATTTGGAATCAAGATTTATTAAATCAAGGAGGTTATAAAGTGTGGTT